GCATTATCTCACTGCAGTGGCTCCTGTGAAGGCTGCCGCTGTGCATTATCTCACTGCAGTGGCTCCTGTGAAGGCTGCCGCTGTGCATTATCTCATTGCAGTGGCTCCTGTGAAGGCTGCCGTTGTGCATTAGGCAGTAAGAGGACAGTCAGTTCCTGAAGGGGGAAGCGGGAGAAATGGACAAGCGTAAGGATCTGAGCGACGCTGACAAGGGCCAAACTGTGATGGCTAGACGCCCGAGTCAGAGCATCTGCAAAACAACAGGTCTTGTGGGATGTTCCCAGTATGAGGGGTCAGCACCTACCAAAACTGGTGCAATGAAGGCCAACTGGTGAACCGGCGATAGGGTCATGGACACCCAAGGATCACAGACGTGCATGGAGAGCAAAGGCTGGCCTGTCTGGTCTGAACCCACAGGAGAGCTACTGTAGCACCAATTGATAAAAATGTTAATGCTGGCTGCGACAGAAAGGTGTCAGAACAGACAGCGCTTTGCAGCTTGCTGCGTGTGGGTCTGCGCAGCCGCAGACCGGTCAGAGTGTCCATGCTGACCCCTGTCCAATGGGCATGTCAGTAGCAAGAGATGGTACCAGGATGCACTATGGGAGGAAGGCAAGCCAGCAGAGGCAGAGTGAGCTTCTCTGCAATGTTCTGCTGGGAAACCTCAGGTCCTGGCATTCATGCACACGTTACCTTGACATGCACCGCCTACCTAAACATTGCTGCAGATCAGGTTCACCCCGTCATGGCAGCGGTATTCCCCGATGGCCGTGGCCTCTTCCAGCGGGATAATGTGCCCTGCTGCACTGCGAAAGTTGTTCCAAGTGTTGTCTTGGGATCCCCCAGATCTCAATCCGATCCATGAAGGCCTCACCTCACAATCTTGGTGCCAGACAACACAGGACATTTTCTGAGGTCATGTGGACTCTAGGCCTCGACGAGTCAGAGCTGGTTTAGGGGGACCTGCACAATACTAGGCAGGTGGTTTTAATGTTAAGGCTGACCCATGTTCTTGTGATGTATAAAATGAACAAAAAAGGTGCAAAATGCACAAGGAGTATTAAAGTGAATATTGCTCCCTCAGTCTCTCTCTCTCGCATGCACACACAGACACACACACACACACACACACACACGCTCGTGTTGAAGCGGAAGGCTTTGTTTCCCAGAAGCAGGCAGTTAAATAAATAAAGTGCAATAATAAAAGGGCAATTAAAGACCACCTTTGTGGACCACCTGTATGGGGGGGGGGGGGCATCCTCCCCCCCGGCAGCGTACTCTAATTTATGAAGTGCTGCAGCGTATTGATCAGTGGGCTGCTGAGGGGGCTGGTGTTAAGCTGGTACACACACCCCCCCCCCAGAGGTTGTACATGGGCTGAATGCTTTCTGTCTTGTACCCAGGTGTGTGACTTTAACTGACTGAGAACACAACTGCTCCTGACCGTTACCGTGGTGAGTTTATGGTCTGGCCTGAGACTGCGTCCATCTGAAAGGCGTTGCCGTGGGAACCAGGCCGCCTCCATCTCCCTGCCTCGCGGGGCCCGGTCTGCATTCTGCCTCGTTTCGGAGGCGCTGACTCGGATCGGCGAGGGTGGCCGCTGTGTGGTTTCCATCTGCACTGAAATGGCTCAAGTTAAACTGCGCAGAAAAGCTTGTTTACTCACAGGACGCACGTAGATCGGCTCTGCCGGGGACTCATTAGCTGTGCTGCGGCAAAGCCAATCGCCCCCCTCCGCCCCCTCCTCACTTTAATGATTCTAAATAAAAACCCTGAGAAACAGAGCATCTGCAAGCCATTACAGGGGCAGGCCTTGGTCACGCCAGCCAGGAGAGGGCGGAGCTTCGGGACGGCAGTGGAGGATCCTCCTCTGTCATTGGCTGTCATTTGGGGTGATTGGCATGCACAGGTCACCTGCTGCCAGCATGGGTTTGATTGGTGTTCTAGAAATTACCTGAAGCTTGGCTGTCCTTTACCGTTTATAATGGTGCATTTGGAACTAAAAGCAGGCCTGTCGATTTTGGTCTTGCAGCCCAACACGTTCTCCTGACACCTTGGGGCGATTAGGATTGCCTGTCTGGTCTTGGGTCAGTTTGCCATCATGCGTTTAGTTATCTGTTACAGCCTGACTAGTACAATTCACTGATGAGCTGCATATGGGTACAGCCACGGAAAGTACCGTGGTGTTCTGGAAGGTGCTATGCCCAGATTGTGTCAGGAAAAATTATTAAAATGAAATCCCGTATATTTTAAGCCTCTTGAGTCAAAGATAAGGCATTTTCTAAATTAGTAGACACATTACGGGAAAGGAGGCCTGCCTCGGTCTCCATTACGGGAAAGGAGGCCTGCCTCGGTCTCCATTGCGGGAATGGAGGCCTGCCTCGGTCTCCATTACGGGAAAAGAGGCCTGCCTCGGTCTTCATTGTGGGAATGGAGGCCTGCCTCGGTCTCCATTGTGGGAATGGAGGCCTGCCTCGGTCTCCATTGCGGGAATGGAGGCCTGCCTCGGTCTCCATTATGGGAATGGAGGCCTGCCTCGGTCTCCATTATGGGAAAAGAGGCCTGCCTCGGTCTCCATTGCGGGAATGGAGGCCTGCCTCGGTCTCCATTATGGTTGTTTAGGTTTGTTCCCCCTTCCCTTTCTTTTTTTGTTCTGCAGAAGTTTTTCTTTTGGTCTCCTGAAATACAGCTAAATGGTTTCGTTTAGGCCTCAGGGCAAAGCCCAGCCGATGGGAAATCCTCTGCGAATCCCAGTCTTCCACACCACTCAGCTCCTGGTTTTTACTGCCTTTGTAATTTCAGTGGATGCTGTGGGGTTTTTCCCCCCCTTTTTTCTCTTTTTTTCCAATCTGCACCCCTCCTTTGGGCAAATGAGCACAGGGCTCAGTTCCAGAAAGAGCCACACAGGGGCAGCGTTGGCCCACAGCAGCACACTGGAGAAGTTGCTTGTTGGAAAGCAAAAGGTCTGGGGTGAGGGGGTAAACACTTGGGCGGGGGGGGGTGCTGGTATTTCCATCTCACAGGTANGGGGGTAAAGCTTAGAAGACGTTGGCGCCTGCAGAACGGGCACCGTGAGAGACGGTCGGGTCTCCGAAGTGCCAGCTCTCAGTCTGCCGATTTTATTTAATGATTATTTTTAAGGACCAAAACAAATGAAATGAAACTCTGCGGGGGCTCGTGCTACAGCACCGCTGCTGCTTTTTAATTACATGCCTGAACGAGGGCAGGTTTTTAAAGGTGGAGGTGTGAGGTTCGCAGGCAGGACCCCCGGGCACGGCGGTAAACAGGCCCTCCTATTTACAGTGACCCCAAAGCCATGTTCGTACTCCCCCCCCATGCATGCATGCATGTTACTGCCTTAATCAGAACTATTGCTTGTCCTGAGCACATTAAGGCACATTAACTTGTTTTTTCGTTGTTTTTGCAAAGGAATTTGGAAAATAGTGTTGAATTAGATGAAAACTGAGGCTTATGGGATGACAGTATTTAAATTAAATAAATAAAGGAATCTGCATAGCAGGTTGTTTATTCAAGTGATACATGCTGGTTGGTTCACCACCCTGTCAATTATGTATTTTTGACCAATGGCAGAGTGTCTTCATAATAAGAAGGGAAATATCATACTTCACTCAGCTATGAGGGGGGGGGGTCCTCCTTCGGTGCAGGCTATTCTTACGGGATCAGCTGATGTAGCTGTAAGTTTGATGGCGGTGTTAGGGATTCTGTGCTAGCTGGGAAGGGGAGTTCTATGATGTCACTTGTATGGACATGTGATTAGAGAGGAAATGCAAACATCCACCCACCCCCCCACACGCCTCCTGCTGGGCAACATCAGGACTGTGTTGTGCTTCGGTCACTGAGTTCACACAGCTGCTGTGAGTGCAGGGCTGCCCTTTGACCCTCTCTCCCCCCGTGCGGTGTCTCCTTCCTGTCCAGACACGGACCCCCGGGTGCTGGAGAAACAGGAGCTGCAGCAGCCCACCTACGTGGCCCTCAGTTACATCAACAGGTGAGTGGTGGCGTCGGCCCCCCCCCCCATGTATGGTGTCAAAGGTCGTCCGACAGGTCTGCAGTACAGTCACTTTACAACCACAAGGAGGAGGTGCACCGACGTCAAATATTTAATGTCGGCTAGCATTTTTAATCTTTAACTACCAGTACAGATACACGGAGTGGTTTATTTGCCTGAAACTCACCTGGATGCAAACAAGAATGTACTGAGAAAGAGAGAGAGAGAGAGAGAGAGAGAGAGAGAGTAAAAGTTTTAAACCTTTCACAGAACTCGGCGACCTAACTGGAACTTAAATAAACAAAAATCTGTATGGGAACAAATGCTTTTAGAAAAGGTCGTTTGCATTGTCCTCACGTCTTCTCCCAGCGCACGTTAATGTCACTGTACTCCGTGACAGGAGCACGTCCCCAATCCTGGGGAGCGCAGTGCGAGGGGGCGCCGCACTGACATGGTTCGAGCGTCCTTCCGACATCCCTCCTCCACGGCGGGAGGGGGGCCAGTGGAGGGGGCACTGTAGAGACTGAGAGGGGGAGGAAAAAAAAACGAGTGGAAAGACAGATAGGGATGGAGGGATGGGGAACGGGGCCAACACCTGTGCAGGGTGGCGCCTGGACAGTGGGTAACTGGATCCAGTGGCTCTGTCTGCCTGGATCTGAGGGCGATTACTGGCAACGGACACACACACACTCTGACTAAACCACTCATACGCACACATACACGCACGCAGCGGCCTTCAAAGGAAGTCTCTGGCTAATTAAACAGAGCTAAACTTTCCAGTGGTTGGCTGCAGGGTGGGGAGACATCCACGTTGGCAGGGTCCCTGTGGGCAGGCACCGTGCGTTTGCGTGCCCGCTGTGTGTGTGTGTGTGTGTGTGTGTGTGTGTGTGTGTGTGTGAGTCTAGGGGTTTTGTCCTTTTTATTTAATATGTAAGGACCTCCTTTGAGTTTTAAGCAGATACTTTTTCTGCAAACTAGGTTTGTAGGTTTTACATTTGGCCTCAGGGGGGCAGCATTTCACCATCAACGGAGTTGGATTCCGTGAGACGGGAGTACCGCCATAATGTCGGCGCCGTGTTCCCGTGGAGAGAGCGATGTCTCCGTTAGCGCTGCTTGCCCTTTTCCCATGGAGCCAGTACTGGGTCTGTGATATGGGGAGTAGAAGATAGGAGCAGCTTAAGGGTTTGGATGGTGAGAAAAACTCTGAAATTTGAATCCCAGGAGATGGCATTGTAATGAACTCGAGCTGCATAAATGTAGAGCAGCCAGAGCTGTATTTCATGAAGATAGCCACTAAAATCTGCAGCTCTTTCATCTGGGAAAATCCCGCCTACGAGCAAAGCTCTCTCCCAGCTCTTATCTCTGCTGCGCTTCAAAGATCACCGTTGGGTTTTTTTTTCCAAGACCACAAACATCCACAAGAAAACTAAATTTTTTTTTGCATGTAAATTAAACTGTAATTTTTTCTTTAACTTTTCATCTATCTATCTCTGTCTATCTATGTATCTATCTATGTTTCCTCTCTATCGACCTATCGACCTGTCTGTCTGTCTCTCTGTCCAGCTGTAAATCACCCGTGTCCGTGAGTCCGTCTGCCTGTCTGCTCCTCGCTCCAGGTTCATGACCGACGCCGCCAGGCGGGAACAGGAAGCCCAGAAGAAGAAGATCCAGCCCAAACTGTCCCTGTCATTGGCTGGCAGTGTGTCGCGTAGCAACATGTCCACGCCCCCCCGGCACAGCAGTGGCAGCCTGACCCCGCCCGTGACCCCGCCCATTACCCCGTCCTCCTCCTTCCGAAGCAGCACACCTACAGGTAGCCCTGGCTCCCCCCCCTCCCCCAGTTTCATTAATGTCCTGTTGGCATTTTGTGCCTGTTACTTGAACACATACGTTAATTTACACGCACATTTTGAGAGATCAAGGTCAGCAAGTCCAGTTGGGAGTTAAAAACCTCACTCAAGGGCCTAATGGTAAAATCACTGGGATTCGAACTGGTGACCTTCTGATCGTGGACACAGAGTCCTAGCCCACTGAGCCACACAGCACCCCCAGACATTCCTGTTCGTCATGGGGTCATGGCTGGAGACTGGCTGTCTTATGGGACGTGCATCTCACCAGCTAATGGGGGGTTTGAGTGTGCAGGACAGCAAACACGCCGTGGGACGGGGGCGGGTGGGGGAGACCCCCACAGGGCCGGCACCAAGAATCCCGTGAGGCAGGAAATGCTTTTCCGGATCAAAAAGCAGTAATTTCATGATTAAATCCCATTCTGGGTGTTTCTGACTCTATCCCAAGTTAGCAGCCTCCAGGGTCATGTGACACGTTTACATATGGGAGCTCGAGTCGGTCGGCTGGGGAGAACCTCACCCGCGTCAGTGCTGTCGGGCGTTCCAGGTGAAGGCCTGGCCCTCGGCTAGCAGAGCACAGGGAAGGTGATCTTACATCTCTGTCATCGGTCCTGCTTTAATGACCCTCTTTCTCTGCACGAATTTAAATCCAGCACTAACTGGGAGCTTAAGAATAATATCTGGCTTTGCTACGGTTCCTCCTGGCTCATAGGACACGATTCACTCCCCTCCCTCTGGTGGTTCCTGTCTTTTCTGTGCCCTTTTGGGTGTAGAAAAAAGAAACGCTCATGGGAGTTTTACTTACACAAAAATGTTTTGAGGGCAGAAGGAAAAATGATTGGTTCAGAGAAATAACCAATCAGGTGGGTCTAAGCAACCTAGAGTAGGCGGGTCCAACCAGCTAGACATCTCCTCTAGTTGCTTAGACCCACCACCTCTACAGTCTGATTGGTTATTTCTCTCTCTGAACCAATCATTTCTCATTGTGCCCTCAGAACATTTTTGTGTAAGTAAAAAACAGAAAAACAACTTCACTATTCTGATTTTTCTGGAAAGTTCCATTCTTTCTCTCTCTGACTATAGTATGATAACCCCCCCCCCCCCAAATTCTTGGTCCCTCCAGGTAGCGAGTACGATGAGGAGGAGGTGGATTATGAGGCATCGGACAGCGATGAGTCATGGACCACCGAAAGTGCGATTAGCTCCGAGTCCATCCTCAGCTCTATGTTCATGAATGGGGGGGACGAGAAGCCTTTTGCATGCCCTGTCCCAGGCTGCAAAAAGAGATACAAGGTGAGCCTTAGCCCCCCCCCCCCTCTGTCAATAAGGTCTCTGTTTCATAAGGTCCAACCTGTACAGGAGAATCTCTTTGAATACATTTCGATAAATTTGAAGATTCATCCCTTCTGGTGCACCATGTTACTCTGGAGGAATCTTTAAAAATGTTTCAAGGATCTGTCAATTCCGGATTTGAGTAAATGAACATTGACCATATGAAGCCAAATGTAAACATGTTTGCCTATTTGTCCAGTAATTGCATCCGTTTTGTTTGATTAATACATCTTCACGTTGTGTTTATTGAGCCAAAATTTGCAGTAAATGCTTTTTAAGTGGATATTTCCTTTTATTGACTCAAGAAATTTGACAGGAAATTGTGGGGGGAGTAGCGTAAACTTCTGGGAAGATTGGGCCAGTTTGTATGCACGACTGTGCCTTTGGCCCAAAGCTATATGTATTTGGATTTCCTGGGTCTCTCCTGTTCTGTCTCCCATGACAACCCACATAACCAGCCTGTCTTCTGCCCCCAGAACGTAAACGGCATCAAGTACCACGCCAAAAATGGCCACCGGACCCAGATCCGGGTGCGCAAACCCTTCAAGTGCCGATGCGGGAAGAGCTACAAGACGTCTCAGGGTCTCCGGCACCACACCATCAACTTCCACCCGCCCGTGTCGGCCGACATCATCCGCAAGATGCAGCAGTAGCGCCGGTCGCCGTGCCAACAGAACCCTGCCACCTTCACCAGCGGCTGCTGATCTCGCTCCCCCAGTCCACACTACACCATCCATTGCATGCTTTAAGTTCCTTTTATTTTAGAACCTTACTTTCTCTTCTATATTTTGGAACGATGTGTCTTTTTAGATGATTTTGTACATTTGCACATTTAGCTATGAAACCTATTTTTCATTCTTTTCAACATACGGTGCTGTTTAAAAAAAAAGAAAAGAGCGGGAAAAAAGAAAAAGGTTTTTTTTTTTTTTTTTTAAAGAAAAATAATATAACATGATAAGATGGAAGAACCTGTCCAAGACAGTTTAGGCAGAAGATAGAGACCCCCCCCCACACCACCATTCAGCCCTTTCCAAGGGTGCGTGAGGGCTGGCTTAGGGACAGCCCATGGCCCACATCCAGGGGCCGGCAGATTGGACCACGCTGGCGGTAGGGGTCGGCGCCCAGGGGGGATTCTTGGTTTCCTCACTCCCGTGGGGTCGTAAGGGTGCAGATCCGGTTCCTCTTGCCTCTTAGCGAAAAGGCGAGGAAAAAAATTCATGTTTGGACTATATTGTCAAATATTACTTTAAATATATGAAACATAGGTTATATATGTGTGTATATAAATATATATAAAGTATAAACGTTCATAATCATAAAACAATTATGCTTAATTTGTTAGCTTTCTTTTCTACTTTATTTTTATGTTTATTTCGACATTCAAAGGCCCCTTATGTTATTTTGTCCTGTCATTTTTCAGACCCCTGAGGGTGACACACCCCCCCCCCCCCCCAGCGTTTTCAGAAGACTCCTCAGTGTTCAGATCTTACTGTTCCTCAACTTCCCAGTGAGTCTGTCCCCTTTCCCCCCCAGATCAAGTCCCTTTTAAGCACTTTGTATTAACCAGTTGCCAATAGACTCTGGGCGGTTTTCTTTTCTCTCGTCCTGTTGCCTGCCGCGCTCTTCCTCCATGCCTGCGGGCAGCCAGTGAACTATCGCACTGGAGTTGCCGAGGAAGTCACGTCCGGGTCAGAGGTCATCGCCTTCATACCTCCCGTGTGGCTCACGTGTCGTGATTGTTTCTTTTTTACATATGATGTACGATTGTCTTGTATTCCCAGTTACATTACTGTGGTATGAAGTCCTTTCACAGTTGTTCTGAATCCTCAGTCTTCAGGCCTTATCGATAGTGTTGTCTGCTCTGTGTGGCGAAGGCAGGTCCTCGTTCAGGGTCCTCGGCCCAGACTTTTGCGGATCCTGCAGCCACGGGCAGGATTTTGTGTGTGCATGTGTGTGTGTGTTTGAACGTGTTACCAGTCAGCCACCTTGCCAGTCCAGTGTAATCCAGTTTGCCAAATGTTACCCATGTTTTGTGGCTCTGCCTGTGAGGACATCCTTACACCACCCCACCCCCGTCTGTCTGGATGATGTCACAGAGGACTGTAACGTGGGAATGGCCATATGTCAGCAAAGCATTCCAGAGGCTTCTCACTGACCTTGCGTGAGTTTGGCCCGACTTGGACGTCCGTCTCGGCCTCACTGCGGTTTGGCGCCGTTTCAGGGAGGGGAAGCACGAGCGAGCCGTCTCCAGATTCCACCCCGAGATGTCAAACACTCATAAACACGACCCAGAAGCGAGCAGCGTAATGGAACCACAGTTTATACTGGTCTTAACGGTGTGACAGTATTACGCAGCAGGCTCCGTACGGAGAGGACCGTTCAGATATACTGTGTATAGTGAATGTATTGTAATGTGCGTCCGTGTAAGTGCTTTTAAATTATATTTTCGTATGTTTCGTGGAGATAAATGTTTCCTTTTGTGTCCGAAGGCCAGGTTTTACTACGTCAGACTGTCCTTAAAAAGCTGCTTCATAAATGTCAATCCGATTACATAAAATAATTGAAAAAAATAAAGGAAATTTCTCCGTGATCTTTTGGTCAGAGTTTTATTCACTTTGTATCTGCTACGTACAATTTGTGCCTGTATGCCAGATCTAAGAGTGTTCAGATCCCTGGATCAGGGGGCAAGTGCTGACCGGTAAGCTGAATGTACACTCCTGTCAGTCAAAATAAGGTCAGAATTTTAGTCCTTGGGGAGAATCCACAAAATGGCACAGCTGACAGACGGCACATTGTGATCAAGCAGGAACATCAAGAATCAGAAGCTGAGAGAGGGGGGAGGGGGAGACCTAGAGATAAATACCTTTATTCAGCTTGCAATTATATAGTCAGCATTTAGAATCATATACAGCTATAGAATTAAGTTAGAAGATTCCGGATCATTCAAGAAGAATTTATCTGTTCCCAAGTGGTGCAAAGAGGATATTATAAAACAAAAATCAAAAGAAGGGTAACTGGAAAGTGAGATCGGAGAGCTAACAAACAGGTAACTCCTTTCAGAATCATTCTTTCTATAATAACCGCTTCTATAAATAATTAGGATATAAGCTATGAAAACCCAGTGCAATTAAATATAGATTGTTTTAACTAACCAATAGGATAATGATAGACTTTCTGCCTATTGGCTGCTGGGATGGTCCCTCCCACAGCAGCCGTAACGCTAAGCTCCCACAACTGAGCAGAGGACTGTGCCAAAAGGATGTTATTGGAGAAACCTATCTATACCTACACATGCGATGTCACCCCGCCCCCCCCCCCCCC